GTTCTGCTCTGGAGCCCTACATGCCCCCGCGGGCGGCCCAGCCGCTGCTGAACAGCATGTGTGATGGATGGCAGAGTCCTGTCCCCCTCTCCGTGCCTCTTCCTTTACCTGAAATTTATCACAGAACTTTTAGGATTTTCCCAGGTCCATCTCTGAAACTGCAGCCCTTCTTTGGTTATTTCAAAGCCTTGGCAGAGGAGGGGGGTGGAGCACTGCTTCATTAGCTTATTTTCCTAGGAAAAAAAGCTAAATTACTATGATTTTTAAAATTATTTTTCAAATTTTCTATGTGGACAAGTTATCAAATTTTCAAATTTGGTGTGCTTGCCAATATATAATGCAAACATGTGAATTTTTGGGGGTGACAATTGTCATACATTGATTCTTCTATTTGAGAAATATTGTTAATTAAACTTCCTTTAACTTTACACATTTTAAAATCCCTGTGTGACAAAATAATAGGTTAGGGAGAAGGCCTTTTTCTTAATTCTTTAGATATCTTCAGAAACCAAAACCCAGAAGGTTCTGTCAACATCAGGAAACACCTTTTTCACTGTGAGGGTGACGAAGCACTCGCACAGGTTGCCCAAGGAGGCTGTGGAGTCTCCATCCTTGGAGATACTCAAAAGCTGTCTGGCCATGGTCCTGGGCAGCTGCCTTTCGGTGGCCCTGCTTGACCAGGGGGATTGGACCAGATGAGCTCCGGAGGTCCCTTCCAACCTCAGCCATTCTGTGATTCTGTGAAATTTCATTTCTTTACAGAGGTGTTCATGTTACTGCAGGAATCCGGAGGCATGGAGTTTATTCTTCTGCTGCACAAGTTAACTTCATATTGCAAGACTCAAGGAGACCCATGATGTTTTCTTTCAGTTTTCATCCTCAGAGTGCAGGAACTATTGAGGAGCTGCTTCTGTTTGCTTTTACTGTCCTTTTGCTATCCAAAATTGATGTATCTAAAATCGAAGATATACATTGAAATTGGCATTTGCTTCCAAGATAAACCCTTACCAAAGACTGAGATACAATTTGTTTGGAAAATGAACACCATGATTTATTTCTGGACAACTGCAATTTGGTTAGGCTAATGGGGCCAGCTGTTGAAATCTGTTGGTCACGTGGTGTTTCATAATGAATTACACTAATTTATACCAGTGGAAGAGCTTACGAATTTACACTGCTATTGTTTAAATGGGGGGACACACATATACCCTGGGTCAGTCTGCTTGTTTGCAACAAACGCTACTGCAGTACTGTGCAATCCACCCACTTGTTGAACTACAAACAGCAGTGAACCTGGAGAACATGAGCTGGAGGCTCAACTCTGTGTGCCGTCATTTGAGCAACCTATGTCTGACTGGTGCACTACAGTACAAACACAGGCCATTGACCTTTCCACGTGGGACATGGCTGGCCCCTCCTCAACAGCTGTACAGTTAGGAAGTGTTTCAGTAGGCACAAGCTTTCATATGGCAGTAATCTTTATCAAGAATAGTGTTTTCCCTTGTCACAGAACAGTGAGAGAGATGCTAGTGGGAAAAAAAGGCAAGACGTACATACAGACCTTTAAGAGTTATTCAGAAAATGATAGAAGTATTGTGCAATAAATAAAAATATTATTAGGGGAAATCAACATAGAAAATAGTTTGTGTCATACAGTCTAAAGCCTTCCTGATAGTATGAAGACTGTGGCAAAGAGAGTAGCTTCATTTGTATTAACAGGTAGACTAGTTAGAGAGAGTAAGAAAAGTAGGTTTCTCATCATAAAACTTCCTTTAGTAATAAGCAGAGCTCTTGTGTCTGTTTGACTTGGTGTCAGCTGGGAGTTTCAGCTGGAGCAGATACTTGTGAACTGTCCTGTGCTAACCTCCCACTGTCCTTCTTGGGAATAATGCAGTCAACTTGCTTCCAAACACCTTGTTGCATGGCATGATCCATGCAACAAAACTGGGACCCAACAAAACAGGTTTTACATGGACTGCCTAAAAGTACTTACTCCAGATGATGTAGATTTATTCACTTAGTCAATTTTTTTTTTTTTTTTAATTTTAGATACAGAGTGTATTTTGGAGCCTCTGTCTCTGCCAGAAAGTCCAGGTGGTGTTGCTGCTGTAGAAAGTTCTCCCTATGTGCCTTGTATTTTCTGCAAAGAGTGCTATCTCTTAGCAGAACAAAACCAGCTCCTAAAGCACATGATTATTGAACACAAGCTCGTCATAGCAGATGTGAAACTGGTTGCAGATTTTAGAAGGTAAGGGTTATATTGTTTAAAATGAATGTGTATGTGTGCAGACATTACAGAAAGCTACAGAAAACTAGAGACCGTCTTTTCAAAATACTTTAAAAAGCAGTGGGGTGTTGTGGGAGGAGTTTTATTACTTTTTTGGTGAGCTTTTTGTTGCTGGATTGTAAGGTTGTTTTCCCATTCTCCTCCTACTCCTCAGCCTCTAGATTTTGGGGGGACTCAATATTAGAATACAGGGTAATTCCTATGTTAGACATTCTTTAACATATCCTAGGGAATTCTCAGGTCCTGTCACGAATCAACAAGTGGTGTACAAGCTAGAAAGCTGTTTATTTTGTGAAGCACATTCTAGACAATCGACTCTCCTAATTTTGGATTTTATTCATATAGGAGAAGACTATTTCTTCCACTGTACAATGTCCTAAAGCTGTGAATTGTACACAGAAGCTGCTCAGTACAGGATCTCTCACATTCTGGGATGAAATTCATTTGCCCTGTTTTAAGGATGCCAGTATTTCCCCATAGAAATCACATTTAATCCTTAACTATACTTTACAGTACTGTGATCTACATACAACTGTGACTCCTACAGCTGTGTCATTGATCATCTCAGCAGGGTCACATTTGGCTTTCTCTCTCTTAACTTCCTCCAGTAGCTGGCATGGCCCCAGCTGGCTTGTAACTTCAGAGATTAGGCGCTTGCTTGGCATTTTGCTTTCACACACAGCAATGTATGTGGCAGGCGGCAGGCTAGACAGTACCTGCCAGTTTGTAGATAGTTCTGTTGAAGTGTTTAGATGTTAGCTGGATAATTTCTCAACTAAAAGGAGTTTTCTGGTCAGTCTTCTGTGATTAGTTACTCAGCCAAAGCCAATAACTTGTGTCTATCAAGATGCAAAAAAAAAAAGAAATATTAGGATGAAATTTAGGAAGAGAAATGTAAGCCATATAAATCCTTATTCAGATGTATGAGCTTAATGTTGCTTAAAATTGAAAACTGATACTTGTTTTTGTTTGGTTTTATGCTGAAAGCAGGCAGAACAAGAATGCAGTGTTCTTTGGAGATAATGCTAGTTTCCTCAGATAAATTAAGGGATCAGAGCTGCTCAGTCATGGACTGCCAGTTCAAGTGTGCTTGAGGGATTATTTTGCGTTAATAGAAATGTATTTTAAAATCACCTTTTCAAGAAAATGTCCATTTAGATTCTTTTTGCTGCTAATGCAATTGGAAGGTAGCCAAATCTTATAGAAAGTGGTCCCAGGATGTGAAATGATGGAGTTGTTACTCTGAAGTGTGCCTTCTTTTATTTGCTCTACTGAATATCAGTAAAATAGTCTAATACGATGCACAAAAAAAGGAAATACAATCTGAGGTGTTAAAGTGTGAAAAATACAGGGAAACACCTATGAAAACATAGTATTTTTTTATACTTAGCAATAAGTTACAATCAGTCTTAGGAGTACATTTCTTGACAGAACTACAAGAAGTGGACAATCCAGAGAAGAGCAATGCTAACAAAAAACTTCTTTAAGGTTTTTTTTTTTTAACTTGGAAGAATAAAGATAAGTTGGCATTAGGGCAAGGGGAAGAGATAAGGGGACTAAGTTTGCACTGCATGACTGGACATGGACACTGGTCACTCATTCTCTCTCCCTGGAAGTATCACAAGGCATTGGCTTCATTTGATCATTGATTATTTGGGTTAAATCTTAGGATATGAAATCCCTTAACAGTAAGCTTCATGGCACAGACAGTTATGCTTAGGTGAGTTTGTCTGAACAGTATTCATTTATTTCAGTGCAGGCGACAGACTAAATGACATCTTGAAATCCCTTCATTTGCACATTTATGTCCTAAAAGCTCAAGGATGACTTATTCTGGAAGACTTGCTGTTCTGTGTAGCAGCAAGACTGTTTCATTGTGCATTATAAACAGTGGAGTAGGCAGGGGACAACAAAATGCTCACCTCTCACTGACATCTAATGATGCCTCTGAATGAGCTTCAGCCATGCATGCTGGCTTCACTGTGCTTAGCTGTCTGCTGTACCGGAGGTTAATCCTCTCCATGTCAAAGTTAGCAGAAACAAATAAGTGCTGATGCCTTGGCTGCTGCAGTTAAAGTCCTCATATAGTAAGATAGATGGTAAATAGAGGTAATATGAGCGACCATAGGATGTGATAGCTGTGGCAAGTAAACTTTTAGATTGCACAAATATTAAAAGCTACAACTATTTAAAAATATCCTCATAATAATGATATCTTTTTTTTTATGATTCTTTTCCTAATTTGATGGCATGTCTCAATAGGAAGCTGTCATTGAATAGTTAACCTTTACCTTACCGACTCTCACATGCTTTATATCACACACGAGTCATAAGAATAAATATAAGCATGCACTGAAGCATTTTCAGATTTTTTTTTATAGTAAGATTCTGAATAATTAGCACAAGGATTGCTTGGTTCCCTTCATCGTGTAATTGAAGGTGATGATTTCTTCTTGGTTAGGCAGTAGCTTCCAGTTCAGTGGGAACCTAATCTCAGCTGGGGTCTGTTAATGCTGCTGTAATACAATGATAGCACAAGAATGCTTCTAAACAACTGTAGTTGATGGTTTAAACCTTCAAGATGTGTTCAGGGCTTTCCTTATTCTGTCTGCTATCCCACCCCCAGGTGTTTTGGGGGACTTCATTTTTCTGTCTTTCTAGTTGTCTGCCAAGCTACAGCTTTCACTGTAACTCCACAGGAGACCTGCCAGAACCTCACTTTTGACAAGTTGGTGTTTTTGCTGAGTGTCAGATTCCTGCCTGCATCTTGCAGAACACAGACCACAATATTTTGGGAATTTGAGAGTACTCTGTAGTGTATCTTTTCAGTAAAGATGCATCTGACTGGCACTTCTGTCTGAAGATGTGAATAGGTCACAGTGTTTATGTAAAGCTTAATGCAAATCTGTCTTACTGAGTTCTTCACTTTGACAGGATGGTTAAACCCAGTTTTAGTGAAGCTGAATGAATTTAATGAATTGGAAAACTAGATTAAAGGAAGAAAAAAACAGACAGGAATTAAAAAAAAAACACAAAACACTCTTAAGAATTTAGAGGATGGAAAAAGCAAGAGCTGATGAACTGTTTATTAAACTTTTTTTGATGTTTCCTTTTTCACTAATCATCTCCGCCTTATTTTTAAAGATACATCTTGTACTGGAAGAAGAGATTTGCAGAACAGCCCATCACAGACTTTTGTAGTGTGATAAGAACAAATTCAGAAGCTCCATTAGGTAAGTATGCTGTTTGTTTACCCTCTGTTGGCCAGGTCACGTGATAATTTCTGGCATATACTGCTGCTTTGATCAGCCAAGTGTGAAATAATCTGACATTAGGTCAGAAAACCACAGAAGCAATGTTTAACTCTTAACCACATATTTAAACTTACCTTTTCCAAGGATTGCAACACGTGCTTCAGCACTGTGCTCAGTGAGGATGAGCTCAATACATGCTTAAATGCGCTGCCAAATTAGGGCCGGTTACAAATCAAGGCCGGGAAGCAGTGCTGTTTATATTGTGGCTGTGGAAGCTTTGGTACCCACTGCATAAATAATTGGTGACAGTCCTTCCAGAAATGTGGAGAAACATTCCCAGTGAGCTGTCTTTTCCGCTTTCACCCTGTCCGCCACCCCCACTGATGCCACTAACTCTTCCTGGACATCAGGGCCACATCGCCCTTCCTTTCCCCTACCACAATGCTTACTGGCCCAAGAGTATTAGGAGACAATATCTTCACGGTAGGGGTACAAAGACTGCCATTTTCTGGGCTCCAACACAAGACCAAAGACCATACTTCACTGTTCTGCTGCGTTGGCACAGTGGGACGTTCCCTCATAAGGACAGTGATGACTGTGCGAAGGAAGTGTTTTTCTCAGAAGTAGCTGATGCATTTCTTTGGCTTCCCCTTTTCTAACAGAAAAATATAGTTTACCTAAAAGCAGGTAAGAGAACGTTAGGTCTTTCCTGCATCTTTAATTCTCCATGGGGAGCTTAAAAGAGAGGAAGAAATGCATGCAGCCAGTGTCAGAGATGGGTGGAAGGTGAAAACTGAGAACAAAAGGGATGAAAATAAATTGTTTTAATTATTCAATTTAAAGATAAAATAATAATTTAAAGAAAAATAGTCCTAGAAAACATGAAAATCACTCCAAAGACCATAATTGCATTTCTCTTATGTATGTATGTTTTTTGCTTCTGAAATTTTAACGCTTACCACTCAGTTTGAAAATTTCAAATCAAGCGCCTGAATGCCAGAGCTTGCCAGAATTATAAACCATCAATAGCCCTTCCAGAGGACAATGAGAATACTTCATTGTTCGTTTGTTAATGAATTTGTTAATTTTAATGGCTGTCTCCTTCAAATTGATAGCTCAGAAATCAGGGAGTTTCTCTTCTTCACACAGGCTTCTGTATGAAAAGATGGGAAAGGCTGAAATCTAGCAAGTTTAAAATTGTAAAAGACTTAATAATGGTCACTTCAGTTCACCAACCACATAACCCTTTGATTAATAAATGAGTAAATTTCAGATGCAAAATATTTTTGTGTTTCTGTATTTTCTTACATGATGAGTAAGGTAATTCATTTGAATAAGATTTGGTTTATTATTAAATTGAATAAGAACATAAATAGTTAAAAGGTTAGTAAACATAAAATGTGGGTAAAACATACAAGTAGAAATGTAAATTTGGCAAGTCTCAGTGTGTGTTACTAAACAGTTACAGTGCATACCTGCAGATGGAACAAGATCTGATGGTAAAAGGTAATGGGATCAGTCTGGGTAAGGGGAGGGTGTACCAAATGATGATAATCACTGAAAACTGACAATTACTTAGGAAAATAACTGAAAATTCCACATGCAAGATAAAATTAAAGGTGATTTCATGTTTCTTTCATGCTGACTTTATACTGTAACCAATATAAATTATTAAAATTGCTTTATGTCTCCAGAAGAACCATCATAAAAAAGAATAAAGCTGGTAGTGGAGAAAACCTGTGCAATACTTTTGTCTTTGTACTGCAATATAAATGATGGTCTTATAAATATGTATATACAAATGTTTAAGCATGTTTCATTAAATTATGAAATTAAAATAGCTGACTTTTATAGATTAAAAAACACATTCTCACATTCTTAACACATTCCAAAGGTTTAGCAAATTATGTGCCAGAAATATGCAAAGCAGCTGCAACTTCCCATCCCTTACCCACACTTCCTAATGTCTTAACAGAAGAACAGGACAATTATTTTCTTCTATGTGATGTTCTACCAGAAGACAGATTACTTAGAGAACAGCTTCAGCAAAAGAGACTGGTAAGAAATTACTGTTGTTTCATTTTTTGAGGTAAACAGTTCCATAGTGTAATATGTGGTAACTTAGTGGGCATTTTAAAGTGAAAGTATTTTTTACTAGACTGCAAAATTCTGATTTTTTATATTTTTTTAAGCTGATTTCCATAGCTGCTGCACAAACATACACAAACTCCGTGTTTATAGATTTTTCCTTGGAACAAATTTACAGGTTGTATGTCGGTGTTCCACACGAGTGGAAAATACACCCAGAGCACTGAAAAAGGCTGAGTGTGCTGAACATTTTCCTTCTTGCAAGAATCTGCAATGCATTGACACACTATCTTTTGTGTAAAAACATACAACGTAAGGAAATTAGCAAAATAAAACTTAGTGTGTGATACTGTGAAAAGGGAAGGTGATACTTATGTACAAAATCTTCAAGCAAGTTGGTTTGGTGTATTCACACTCTCTTACCCAGATTTGATAATTCACACTCGCATACTCACAAGCACCACAGTGTGTGAGTGGAGGAAGTCTGACCAGTATTGTTTCTGTGAGATGCAAAGGACAAGAAATGCCAGCTGTTGAGTCCTCATGAACCACTCTGATTCTTCTTGCTTGGTGATGGCAACCTAGTACTTTGGACAGACCTCTCTATTTTTCAGGAGTTGTCAGTTCTGAATGGGTTATCCTTCATGTTAAGCTCTTGCTGACTTCAGCTTGCATGAGTCTTAGACCAGGTTGCTGACCACTGGGCTTTTTTTGATGTTTTCTTGTGTGGAATACACATCTGTAGTCTGTTTTTGCTGTTGGGCTAATTTAAAATGAATGTTATGTGATATATAGCAGCCTTGTTGCCAGTCTCCTTGTGTTAGGATGCAGGATCTTCTGCTGGCAAGTCATCTGTACTGTGAGGTGTTAGAGTGCAGGCCTTATGGTCTTTACATAAATATGTTCCTCAGTTTACTGCTGGCAGCTGTGTCCTGGGAATTCTCAACACAGGCCTTTTAACCCTTTGTGTTCAGAGAAGGGCAACAAAGCTGGTGAAGGGTCTGGAGCACATGTCTTATGAGGAGCGGCTGAAGGAACTGGGGTTGTTTAGCCTGGAGAAGAGGAGGCTGAGGGGAGACCTTATCGCTCTCTACAACTCCCTGAAAGGAGGTTGTAGTGAGGTGGGTGTTGGTCTCTTCTCCCAAGTAGTTAGTGATAGGACAAGAAGGAATGGGCTCAAGCTGCACCAGGGGAGGTTTAGGTTGGATATTAGGAAAAATTTCTTTACAGAAAGGGTGGTCAAGAATTGGAACAGGCTGCCCAGAGAGGTGGTGGAGTCCCCATCCCTGGAAGTGTTCAAAAAATGGGCAGACGTGGCACTCTGGGACATGGTTTAGTGGGCATGGTGGTGTTGGGTTGATGATTGGACTGATGATCTTAGAGGTCCTTTCCAGTCTTAACGATTCCTAGTTTTTACTTTCATTATAAATAATCCAGCCACCAAGCCAGGAAACATGAAATTGCTACTCTACCCTTAATTGGTTTAGTGGTGGACTTGGTAATGTTAGGTTAATGGTTGGACTGGATGATCTTAAAGGTCTTTTCCAACCTAAACGATTCTATGATTCTTCTGGTATGTTTCTATTACAAGTCTGTACATACACAGCATGCAACTAAAGACACCTTAAATCATATGTATTCAGAATGAAGCAGATGCTTACAAAAAACAAATTCTAGTCCCCAGAAAAATTGGGATTGGCAGGCAAAATCCATTTGGTTCAGCTACCCTGTGAGTGCTGTTTCAGTTTGTTGGCTAAAGTAATGTTCTGCAGCTCGCGGCCCATGACTAGCAAATCCCCAGAACCTGTGGAGTATGTATAAGTCTTACACAGCTCTCCATAGGATCCCAGCTCCTGCAAAGGAGAAATGTGGTAGTTCTGCCACTGAGGATTTCCCATGGAGTTGGAGTTGCCACAGCTTCATTTCTGTGTAGGTCCATTGGATTGGGATGGACTCGGAAAAAACAGCCGATACACTCATGCCTAGCACACTTCTCTTCCAATTCATCGTAAGAGAAGCCATCCTGGATCAGTAAAAAAGGTTTGTTTAGATCAGTATCTTATCCTTGACAGCAGCAAAGTGTCTGTGGTATTTGCCCTCTTCTGATCTGGTGGTGGTTCTTTCTCAAAAGATTCATGTAGTCTCCAGCAATTGTCAGCTCAAGAATTTCCTAATTCAGCAACATTGTATCCGTGTTTATTAACACAATAGATCTTTCTTTCATGAATGTCCAACTCTGAACCCACACAAACTTCCAGTAACTACAGCTTCTGGCAGCAGTGAGTTGCACAGCTTAACTGCACACTGGGAGAGAACCATCTATTTGGTCCTTTTGAGCCTGTCATCTCACACCTGGCTGGTTTTTTCATTAGAAGAGGTAGTGAACAATTTCTCCTTAATCTTATCCAAACCATTCATGATTTCTCTCCTGATTTATCTGCCTTACGTTGTGCCTTTCATTAGTCATTTGCTGAAGTGCACCCTTATGGCAAAGGAGGCCAACAGCATCCTGTGCTGTATTAGGAAGAATGTTGCCAGCAGGTCAAGGGAGGTGATCCTTCCCCTCTCCTCAGCACTAGTGAGACCACATCTGGAGTGCTGCATCCAGTGCTGGGCTCCTCAGTACAAGAAAGATACAGACTTACTTGAGCAAGTCCAGCACAGGGTCACAAAGATGGAGCTTGGACTGTTAAGCCTGGAAGACAAGGCTCAGGGGGGATCTTATCAATGTGTGTAAATACTTGATGGGAATGAAGAAGAGGGACTCAGATTCTTCTCAGTAATGCCCACCAATAGGACAAGAGGCAATGGGCATGAATTAAAAATCAGGAAATTTCCTCTGAAAACAAGAAAACATTTTTTTACTGTGAGGGTGGTCAAACACTAGAACAAATTGCCCAGGGAGGTTGTAGAGTCTTAATCTGTGAAGATACTCAAAACACAACTAGACACAGTCCTGGGTAAGCAGCTCTAGGTGACCCTGCTTGGGCATACAGGTTGGACTAGTTGCTCTCAAGAGGTCCTTTGCAGCCTCAATGATTCAGTGATTTGAGGTTGAGGACGCTGTCTATTTGGTGGTTCTTCACTGTGCAGCATTGTTGCACTTCTCTGTACCTTTACCAGTTTCCTATAGTCGTTTTGACATTATGAAATACATCTTGAATATTGCATGTGGGCATGCAGTGTCATAATGATGTTCGTTTCCCAAGCATATATCATGTTTGTGGCTTTGAGGAAGGAAAGAGGGTCATGATTGAGTATGCAGCTAATGTTTTAATAGAACTGTCTATTCTAATAGTAACTCCTGGCTGCTACACATTGGACTGTACTTATTTTTTTAAGGGGTGTTTGTTTCTGATTTTGTGGTGTTGTGTGCTATGCAGTCCTGTTCCAACTAGGCCTTCTCTCTGCTGCTGGTGTCAAGGGAGTGTGGAGTCTGTTGGCAGGTGAGCCATCTCATCTCCTCTGCAAGTAGACATTTCCTCAAATTCAGAAAAGGGTGCAGGATTTAGCCCAAGGCAAGTGCTGGTTTTGTTTACAGAGTAATTAAGTTAGAAAAGAGAGAGATGTGCATTCTTATTATGGTGTGAAATAGCCTTTGCTATTAACATTGTTTTAAATACCAGAATTGTATCTTCAGTTTTTACAGAAGAATTTTCTGAAATCAAGCTGCAGCTGTAATTGGGGCTAATGGAGTAGCAGCTTTAGTTACAGCAATAAAGTCTGTTTATTTTTTCATTTCCTTTTGCTGCAATCTGAGTGTTGACTTGCAAGTTAAATAGTTATTTTGCTTTGCAAAGTCTTTTACCTCCAGACAAGCTGGCAAATAGGCTCATGTGAGTTGCACAGAATAAAGACCAGAACTATACAACTTTTGGTGATTTTTCTGCAGCCTTTGAATCCTAATGGCTGTGGCTGTCTCCAACAGCAAGCCCAAACAAGGACAAATGCTGTCTTTAAAACGTGCTAGCTGAAGCATTTCATTTTGCAGTTTTGTAACTCCAGTTCAGGAATATTTCAGGCTGTATTGCAGCAGGGGAGCTAGCCAAGGTGGATGTCGTGCAGAGGCATTATGGTGACTGTGATGTATTGAGAGAGGCCAAGGAATGAGCCTGAACTAGGTTAGAGAGCACAGCTTGCTGAAATAGCTGACAAGGCTATGTAATACAAAGCAGATACGGTCTTTTGGAAAAACACAGTCTTGACAAAGAATTCGTAGTTGTGAAGCAGTACCAGGCAAGGAAGTCCTGGCGGCAAAACTCGAGGTACTAGGAGGGACAGTGTCAGTATAAGCCACTTGGGCTTATCTTTAACATTTTTCTAAAAAAGATAAAAACCACAAACCTATTTTTTGAAAATACACACAGCATTGACCTTGTCTTGCTGTCATGTTTACAGCTATTCTCCTGTCATGTGACTGGTAGGTTTAGGTGAAGAGGCTACTCTTCCTCCTGGTAAATAGACCCTGAAAAGGAGTCTTCACCAAAACTGGAAGAGGGACTCAGCTATGCCAGCTTCCCAGGATGAGCTGTTTGTATGATCCCCAGTTTGTCACAAGCTTAAACTGAGACAAGGTTCAAGAAGTTGAAGCTATGCACTGGAAGGGATTGAGATGCCGGCCTGATTTAGTGTAATGCAACATTGGAAGTGCTTACAGAGTAGCTAATAATGTCAGCGTGTTAATACCTACATCTGAAATTCTATAGGTCCTTCTTTGCCTATGTTCAGTATTTAATTGCTTTCCTCAAGCACTCTAGAACCTTGCCCATCCTTCATGGTTTTTTAAGACTTGTCACACTAATGGCCAGAAATCATTTTATCTAATTCCATAACGACTTCTGGGTAAATTCTGTCAGATTTGAATATGTATCACGTCCAACTTTTAATCCTTTCTTACCCTTTTCTGGTCTCAGTTCTTTGTTTCTTTTGTTTTAAGTGCATTTCATTAACGGTTGTGACATAATTAACCT